ACTGAATAAAACTTGTATCAATAGTGAATTAAACAAGTAATTCAATCCTAACAAATCAACCAATAAACTGCAAAATGAATTAACTTGTATTTAAAAGTGTATTACACAAATATTAAAGTTGAATTAGAAGAGAGAATTAAGCATGAATATAAAAAGTAACTAATGAAAGACTAGCCAATGATATATACAGTGAATTAAACTTATATCAATAATGAATTAAACAAGTAATCTAATAGTAACATATAATAAACTTCAAAATGAATTAAATTTGCATTAAAAGTGTATTACACAATATTAAAGTTGTAGAAGCGAGAATTAAGAATAAATGAAAAACGTAACTAACGAAAGACAAGACAATAATCTATAAACTGAATTAAACTTGTGTTATTCATTAATAAAACATGTATTTTATGTTTCTTATAAATTATTTTGGTTTGTATCATTAAGAACATGAGTGATGTTTGCAATATGTATTAAAAATATAGTGTGCACGTATAATAAATGTATAATAAGTGTGTTACCTAAATCATTTGGTTGGTATCACTAAGAATAGAGTAAAGTTTGCAATATATATTAAAAATGTATTGTTCACGAATAAAATTTATATTATATGTGTCTTATAAATTATTTTGATTTGTATCACTAAGAAAATGAGTGACGGTTGCAATATATATGTATTATAAATGTATTTCTCATGAATAAAACTTATATTATATGTGTCTTATAAATTATTTTGATCACTAAGAAAATGAGTGACGGTAACAATATGTATTAAAAATGTATTGTGTATGTCTTATAAGTGTATTATTAGTGTGTTACCTAAATTATTTTTGTTGGTATCACTAAGAAAGAAGTGAAGTGTGCAATATGTATTACTTATAAATGTATTATTTATGAATAAAACATGTATTCTATATATCTTATAAATTATTTTGATTTGTATCACTAAGAAAAAAAAAAGCGATGTTTGCAATATGAATTACAAATGTATCGTGCCTATATTATATTATAAATGTATTACAAGTGTGTTACATAACTATTTTGGTTGATATCACTAAAAAGGGTGTGAAGTTTGCAATATGTATTATAAATGTATTGTTCATGATTTTAATACAATTTTAATACAATTATGAAACATATCTAATACAACTTTAATACAAATGCGATACAGTTCTATAAACTTTACCTTTTCGAGCTTCAATCTAATATTTCTCCTAAAATCAATGATAAACCAAAGTTTTCTTGAAATTGAGTTATAAACTCCAAACGTCGTTTTCAATTATTTGTAGGAACAATCTATCCAAATTAATTACTAATTCATAAAATTCAAATAATTAATTCAAAATTTGAAGCTTTATAATGACCATCAATGGTGAATTCTTGTTGCTGTAATTTTAGAGATTTGAAATTTCTGCTTGAAAACATGATTTTGTACAAATTTTTGATATTTTTATTCCTCTTCTCATCGTGTTTTTGGGTAAAAATTGTGAAATATAGGTAAAAACTTATTTGAAGATATTTCTTTAAATGAAAAATTCAAAGAAACAGAAGAATAAAAAGAAGAAGAAAGGAAGAAGAGAAAGAATGGCAAAGAAAAAGACGAGAAGAAGAAGAATAAAAAGAAGAAAAGAGGAGGAAGAGAAAAAAGGCAGAGAAAGTGGCGAACATAAACTGTACAATTTTTTTAATTCAAAAAAGTTGTTATATTTAGTTAGAAAAATTATATTGCCATAGATAGTAAATATTTTCTTAATGTAGCATATTTATGTGATTTACCCAAAAAAAAAACAAGTTAATAAATCACATGTTCATAGAGAGTTTTGAGAAAATAAAAAATACTAATTAAGACCAATTATAATATATAATACTATCATGATTAAAAAAAATATTATTGCAAGCTATAATACCAAATGCCAATTATATATGTACGTCAATATTCATCAACCTCCAACTGCAACATAAGGACATTACGACAATCGATTTGAATTAATAATTCGATCAAAAGAGTTTTAATTTGTTAAACAATTTTGGAAAAAACTATATAATTAGACGTATTTTACTGTCATATATATTGTTATTATCTATACTTTTAAAATATTATGTATTTTATCATTAATTAAGAGTTTCTTACGTATCTTACACTAGATACATGTATATGTATGTATCTGGAGTGATTCACATGTATCTGAGATATCGAATACATGGGAGAGTGGTGAGCGAGATGAGAGAGAGGCGAACGAGATTCGCTATGTATCCCAGATACATACAATCTACTTGATTACAATGTATCTAGAACAAATTACACCTAAATTTGACCCATGTATCCCAAATACATATATTTGAAGGCATCAAAATCTGATAAGATACGTAATATTACAAATTAGAGTGTATCTAAGTAATTAGCTCCTAAACTAATGAAGTTTATGTAAATTTCCTTTAATTCTATTAGAAAATAATTCCTTTTAAAGTGGATCTTACGCGGTGTGAATTAACGATAGTCAATTATAACTTAAAGTAATTGACTTGGCCCATATGTCTATTCATAGCCATCCATAACCAGTATTTATATATAATATTCTATTATATTCGATTAATTTCATGTGAACTTATAAATGTAAAATACCAATACACTCTCTTAGGACAAATTAATTAAGTCATATGAACATGTGTTAATATACTTATTCCTTCTACTTTAAGCCATGTGGTTGAAGTTTTTTTTTTATTTTAATGCATGATATAATTATGAACATTGTAAAGTAAAAGTATTGGAATATAATTTCATATCCTTTATATTTTTAGGTGAAGGAATTAGACTTAATTCTCTTCATCAATTTATTCTTTCGACATTCTTATTTTTTCCGTTTACCTTCTAAGTGTGAATTGCACTAATTTCGTGTCTGTTCCAATTTATGTTACACCGTTTAAATTTCAAGTCAATTTTTGTAACTTGAACAATGAATTAGAACGTAATATCTTTAAGCTTTAAAAATTAAATTAAGCATAAAGTAATATAAGTTACGATAATATATAACAGATAAAAATATTTAAAAGGCAGTATTTAGACCAATTTTGCATTCATAGACACTTTAGGGTTTTCAACATTAAAATCGTCATGGTTAATTAGTTATAATATTAAAGAAGTTTTAATATAAAAAATGAGTTTAAATTAAGTGAAATAACTTCTCTTCTTTGCATATACAAGAATTAATACAAATAAAATATTGTTAAAAATGCAAGAAAATATTGTTAAAAATGAAACTTTGTATTTCACTCGATACAAAATAATTCTATCCACAAAAGTAAATTACACTAATAAAAAAAATTATCTAACATTTTTTTGTTTGTACAATAATGACATATCTAGCAATTATAAAAGGGATTAGCATATTTTTAAGTCTTCCATATCATTCCATAATTTGTTTTAAAAAGGGATTTTGGCACATTGATTCTACTACTACTAAACTAATCACAAATAATGTAGGAGAAAGCTAAGGGTGTCAATTGAATAAAATATTCCTATATCCGCAATATAAATAGCCTTTACACTCTTTTATTGACTTTGTTAAAAACGTATTGAAGAAAAAAAAAAACATCTTCACAACTTATTTACCATATTTTTTAAAATTTTCTATCATTTAAAAGAATTTTATTAATTCTTACACTCTCCTATTTTCGGATACATCACTTTACGTGATGTATCGGTCAGATACATGCATCCTTATACATGTACCGAGATGTACACAATGTATCGAGACATTGGGTGATGTATTCGAAACTGAGACGTGATGTATCAGAATGTTAAGCGTGTATCTGAAACCGAAACACAATGTATCGGGATGTTTTGGAATGTATCCGAATTTCACTAAATTTAAGAGATTTTTGTAATTTGAAAAAGAGTAAGGATAGGATGTAATTCTTTTTAACACTATAAAATATGCAAACATTATTTATATTATTTAGTGCAAATTGAATTTTTAACACTGACACATAAATTTGATCAAATTTAACTTGTTAAAGAGGTGCTTCAAGTTATATTATTTAATTAAGAGGAATACTCTAAGGTGACATTAAAGAAAAATAATAATTAAACCGTATAGTGTTATACATACATCTAGAAGATGGTGATATAAGGCTTATTAGAACTCAAACTAAAAAAAAAAAACGCAAGGCAAAATTCACAAGACAAAAAAATTGGAAGACAAAATTCGCAAAGCACAAGTTATGTTTTGTAAGATATAACTTGTTTCCTACAAAATTTATGTCGACAATAGAGACATAACTTCAATTTCAGAACCCACAAAAAATTATTAAGCATAACTTATTCTTACAAAATAATTATCAGACAATAGTACACAACTCATATCACACAAGATAAAAATTATATTCTCTAAATATTTTACTTCCTAAATTAGGTTATATTTAAAAATATTTTAACTCGTAATTTTTCATTAAATAAAAAATAAACATCAAATTAAGAGATACAAATAAAAAATCACCCTAAAACAGGGCAACATGTAAACTTGATAGCAATAACACTAATGCTTGACTTTTGCACATATATTCCCTTTGCAACTTTTTTTTAAGGAAAAATAATAATTTAGTTATAAGGAATTTAAAAGGAGTAATATCAGTCTTCAAGGTGTGTTTTAGTGGTCAATTCTTAACGTATATTTATATCAAAATGCCATTGTAAATATTACATTTTATAGAAAGTTCATCAAAAATTTACCGACTGATCATTCCATCGAAAATTCATATGTTATATTTAGAGACCATGGTTTAAATCTTCTTGGATATATCGATGCAATATAATTGAGCTACCACTAAAATAATTTTAAAGGTGTGAGTTAATATATTACACGTTTCTATTGCCATTCTCTAGAAGGAAATAGCCAAGAAAGAGGAAAACTTTAGTATTCTTTTGTAAGTGTGTATATATACCCCTTTCTATTAAAATCTTCTTCACAGCTCAAAATATTTCCAATTCATATTTTCTAAATTAAACCTAGCTATTATTTCAAATATGTCTAGAGTTTACTCAAACCTAAGAACAATTAAAATTTCGAATTATGTAAGTCCAAGAAGAGAAACATTCACTTTGTGGATGAAATCTCTAGTGTACCATGGAAATGGATGTACTGTTTATGACTCAAATGGACAAATTGTTTATAGAATTGACAATTACAATATTAAACGTAGCAAAGAAGTTCATCTTATGGATTGCAATGGCAAAGTTCTCTTCTCTATTCGAAATAGGGTAAGTACTCTTCACCTGTTTATTTACTTAATTATATTTTCAACGATACTGATATATATTATTATTATTTTCCGCAGAAAGTTCCGGTATTTGGACATTGGGATGGCTATAAATGGAGTTATGATGGAGTTACTAGTAAAGAAATACCATGGTTTCAAGTGAAGAAAATTCACAATGTTCTTAGAGGAGATAATGTGAACTATTATAATGTTATATTGGGATGTAATTCTGAAGCAAGTTGTTATAACATTATTATCCTTGCCACAAAATCTATCAAGATTGTGGACCAACATGGTGGACTTGTCGCAGAGGTAATTAATCTGTCAGATCACCTAAAAGATAACTATATGTAATCAAATTCATAATAGAATTGATTAGTACCAACTAATCATGTATATTAAGTTTTAAAAAATTTACTAATGGTGTTTGTGACTGTGTTTATTTTTAGGTAAAACAAAAACAAGCAAGTTCAGGAGTATTATTTGGAGATGATGTGTTAACATTGGTGGTGGAACCTCATGTTGATCAATCATTAGTTATGGCTCTTGTAACTGTTTGTGGTTTAATCCATCATAGAATTTGATTAGTGGTATTAAGAGTAATTAATAAGTTTAATTTCTTCATTAGTACCTTTTTCTATTTGGAATAAATAATTGTAATCTCTATCTTCCCTTTGTTCTTGAAAATAGGGAAAAGAGAAGTCAAGTGTAATCTCTATCTTCCCTTGAGGTATGAGTTTCTTTTTAGATGTAATCTTGTGATGAATATTAATGTGTACAATCTAATTACTTTTGATAGAAACAGACTAGTTTGTACGCACTTTGGCTATTTCATCAACACAAATATCATATAATAACTCTACTCAAGAAAGCTTAATCGCTAAAAAAGAAAAGAAATTAGTGATGGACAAAATATTGTAAATGACTAAAAACAAAATTCACATAGTTATATGATTATATCTATTACTTTCAGATAAAACTGGTATCCTACAAATTAAATATGTAAGTTTCTGTGATAATAATAATAATATATATATTGTGTAACTTCAAAAATAAATATTGAGGAGGGCGATGTGTATACAATCTTATTCCTATCTTATGAAAATAGAGAGACCATTTATGCTAGACTCTCGGCCCTAATAAAGCATAACTAAAATTAAAAAGAATACCAAGTAGTGTCAACAAATAATAGATAATCTAAGCAAAGAAAATAACAGGTATTAATAAAAAAAGTAGGAGAAAAAAAAACACCAGTACCACTGATAAAGGAAACTAGACACCGCGACTACCTACTAATCTTCTAGTTTAATCCCTGACCTCCACATCCTCCTATCTTGAGTCATGTCCTCGTCTCCTCAGTAAGTTGCAGGTATTTTAAGTCATGTCTAATCAATTTTTCCTAATACTTTTTCGACCTACCTCTACCTCGATCTCCTTAGACCCACCAAAAGCAACCAATCACGCAACTCCTCACCGGGGCATCAATCTGATCATCTCCTCACCATCATGTACATACAGGGGCGGACCTACAGTGGTTCAAGTGGGTTCATATGAACCCACTTCGTTGAAAAATAACACTGTATATATATATGTATATTTAATCAGTTTTTAAAATTTTATATGTATATATTAAATTTTGAACCCACTAACACAAGTTGAAGCTTAGCCGAGTGGCTGAGGGGGTTCAATTTTCCCAGCCAACCCGGGATCGAATCCCTATAGCCACATTTCAGTTTTAATTCGTTTTTTTTTTATATATAAAACATTCACACACAATTTTGTCCCAAGTAACTTTTGTCCTTTTAGTTACTTAGGAACTATGAAAAGTAGAATAACTTTTTACTTTTACATTTAAAGTCCAATAGTCAACAACTTTTGTCCTTTTTATTTTTAGTTTTTTTTTAAAAAAAAAAAAAAAAACTCAACCAAAAAGGCACTAATCCCTATTATTTTCAATTCTAAAAATCATTTTATCTTCTTCTTTGTTGAAATCTTCTTGAACCTCTCTTAGTTTTCCCCCCAAAATTTTGAGCGTATTTTTTAGTTGAAGGAAAAAAACTCTCCCCATCTCTCAAATCTTGCACAAGTATGTTTTTCGCTCTTGATTCTAGTCTTTATATATACATGTATGATTATTGTGGTTATTTTTTATTTCTTCAACTAAAAAATCCCTTATCATTCTAAAATCAACAAAAAATTACAAATAATATTAAGTATGTTGCTATGTATTCAATTCTGAAATTAAGGTTATAATTATTTTGTTTAATATTTTGTTTTTATTTGTTAACTGTTGAATGAAGAGAAATCATTCATAATATTCTTTTATCTTCTTAGTTTATATTGAAGCCTAGTTTTTCGTTCATCTTGTTATTTACTGTCTCATTCATAAGTCAATGTAATTTTTTTTCAAATTTATTAACATTGTTTAGTATAGTCAAATATGTATGTTGTTAGCCTCATAAAAATTACAAATAATATTAGGTATATTTTTATATCTTGAACCCACTTCGTGAAAATCCTGGGTCCGCCACTGTGTACATACCCGAATCATCTCAATCTCACTTCACCTATCTTATTCATCACAGAGGTCATACATATCTTGTCCCAAATATCTTCGTTTCTGATCTTATCTCGCCTAGTAAATCCACCTATTTTTCTCAACTTCTCCACTTCCGTTATTTTTAATTTCTGAACATGCGCGCAAATTCTATATCATAGACAATAACGTTAATTTTCACGTCATATAATCATTTATATCATAGTCTAAACCCTTGATGTGATATTCAATAACATAAAGTAGTTGACTAGTTGTCAAAATCTCTATTCATGTCAAAAGCAATAGTACGTACACTCTCTTGGGACAAATTAATTAAGTCAGATGAACATGTATTAATATACTTATTCCTTTTATTTAGCCAAGCGGTTCGAATTTATCTTTTTTTCATAATGCACAATACCATTGTAAGAAAATAAAATATGAAAATAATCCTAATCACAAATATATTCTTATAGTTAAACATTTAAAGGATAAAAGAATACACAATAAAGTAAAGATAATGGAATATTAATTCATATCCTACCAGTTTATGAGACGGAATTATACTTAATGCTCTTCATCGATATATTCAGTACTTCTATGTGTGAATTGCACTAATTTTTTATTCTTCCGTCCTAATTTACGTGGTATCGTTCAAATTTTTTAACTTTACCATTAATTCGAACATAGAATTTTAAGTTCTTTAAAATAAAATGTATATATTTTAGTACTATATAAAAAGTACTACAAGTCACGATATTAGTTATTTGAAATATTAAAAAGCTTATGAATAAATAACAGTAAAAGAATAATTCGTTTAAATCTCAATAGTTGAATGATACAACATAAATTAGAACAACAGGCCGGGAGTATCTTTTTTGAACTTACGGCAATATTTTGATCAATTTTTATGTGCCTCAAACTATTTTAACGAATATCTGCTAGCTTCATTAGCGTATGTATCGAGACTAATTTGCACGTGTAGCTAATTACAATAAAAATAACTTTTAGCGGCAATAATATACACATTAATAAAGATTGCTAGAGTCTTTACCGACATTAGTTAAGTGTCATTAGATCCAATGTCACTAAAGGTTTTAGGGACATATACAAAGAGTGTTAATTACCACTAAAAATGTATATTTAGCAGTAATATTTAAGTTATTACCGCTAAAGATCATTATTAATATTGTGAGTGTCAATTAAAGATGTATGTCACGGACTTAGAGTCTTACTAAAGTTCCGTGCGGCACTTGACAACTTACTCACGAATCTTTCACGATCTTGTAAGCTCAAGTAAGCCCTTTAAGACTAGATCGCTAAGAGAATACTTAAGAAAAGACTTAGAGAATTTTGGAAGAAGGCTTTTGTATTGCTTTGGAAGATTGCTTTACACTTGGATGATTGCTTTCTTGGTTATTCTAGAGAATTCTAGGGAATTCTCTAGCCTTCTTGAATAATCTAAAGGGTTCTAGAGTCTTCCGGAAACCTCTCCACAACTCTAGACCCTTCCGCCCCTATCCGGACGCCAAATTTAACTGTGATGTGGTGGGACGTGACACGTAGCTACGTTTTTCAATTTTTTGTAGTTCTCCATAAAGTCATCATTATATAAAATAATGGGTCTTGATTTTAAATATATAAAAAAGTGAGTTTCAATAGGAGTGTTACTAAAAACGTTAGGAAAAATTGAAAATTATTCGAAATTAAGTTATATATGATCTAAACTTCACGTAAAAAGAAATGTTCGAAATTGCTTGCTTTCAAGTTCTTTGAAGTGAGACTTTGACAAGCCAAACTTCATATTAGGGGTGTACATGGTCGGGTTGGTTCGGGTTTTTCAAATATCAAATTAAATTATTTGTGTCGGATTTTTAAATTTATAAACCAAATCAAACCAATAAAACTCGAGTTTTTCAACCTCGGGTTTTTTTGGGTTTTTCCAATAAAGTATTCATACAAACATATAATTTACTTGTACTTCAAATATTTCTTTAGTCCTACCAAAATACAACTATCTAAGATGTTTCTTAAAAATATAACACAATATGATATGATTAATTAATGACACTAAAATATCCAACAAAAATAATAATAATGAAATCGCGTAAAACAAATATTGCAAATTAACAAGTCATAATGAAAATTGATCATAATTTGAAAGTACTAAATCATGCTAAAATTAAGTTTAATAAGTAGTAGTTACATGACTAAATATTAAAGAAAAATTAAAATTAGATTATGTATTTTAATTGTCTAAACCAATGTAAAACTAAAGAACAAATATTCAATATTATTGTCATTTTTAGTGTTGAATTGATTTTCTTTTTGCAAAAGTATTAATTTGATTTTGATTTAAGCTTTGTTATAATTACCAACATCTGTGGACTATAATCTTTATTGGCCCATTCATAATTCTAAGTGTCAAACTTGAAATAATATATTAAAAGATAAAAACTATGAAAAAGTATAAGAAATATTTAAAAATTATATCAAAGTAAATATTTTTATGTATAAAATAAAAATTTTAAATTATATATATAATGTCGGGTTGATTTTATCTCGGGCTGGTTTTTTTTAGTTAAAACCAAACCAACCCAAATATAGTTGGATTTTTTTTTTCAAAACCAAACCAAGTCAAACCAAACCAAACCATTAGTCGGGTTTTTTTTCGAGTTGATTCAATTTGCGGTTTGGTTCGGTTTTCGGTTTGATTTTGTACACCCCTACTTCATATACATATAAACTTTAGAATTCATGTGCCTCAAGTTGATTTAAACGATCACGATTGCAAAATTTTAAAAAACTATATCTATGGCTTAATTAGATGAGAGTGTTTCTCTTCGCTCGATATCGAGTAATTCTATTAACAAAAATTTATACTAGTAAGAAAACTCTTCTAGAATTTTTTGCTTGGTACAATAATAACATGTATCTAGAAACTATAAAATGGATTAGCATCTTTTGACTTCTTTTAAGTCTTCCCTATAATTCCTTAATTTGTTTTAAATTGTGATTTTGGCACATTGATTCTACTACTACTAAACT